AATTTTTTATACCCTTCATCTACTTTGTCTTAATAAGAACATCTCACTTAACCAGGGTGCATTTGTTAAAACTGAATGATTAACATGGGTACAATACTATTAACTAAATGACAGCTTCTATTCAGATTTTACCAGTTTCTCCACTACTTTTCTTTTTCTGTGCCAGAATCTAATCCAGAATATCATGCCATTTAGTCACACTGTCTCTTTAGTCTCCTCTGATCTATGACAGTTTCTTAGTCCTTTATTTTCCATAACTTAGAAAAATTAAAGAGTATCAGTCATGTATTTTGTACAATGTCCCTCAATTTTCATGTGTTTCCCATAGTCTCATTATTAAACTGGGGTTATGGTTTTCATGGGAAAAAAAAAAACTGCCAGAAAGAAGTGCCCTTCTCATCAAATCACATCAGGGGCACATTACATACACGTGGTATCTCTGGTGTTGTTAACCTAGATCACGTGGTTGAGGTGGTTTCTGCCAGGTCTCTCCACTGTAAAGCCACTTTTTATTTTCCCTTTCCACACCCTATCCCTTGGAAGCAACTCACTAATTTCAGCTGACATTCCAGGGGAGAGAAAGGAATTGGAGTTAATTCAAATTGTTCCATAAGAAAGATCAGCCCCCATTCCCCCATCTATTTATTTGTTCAAATATTCATCTATGGACTCATGGATATTTGTTTTGTTTCTTGGGTTATAATGCAGTATTAATATTTTTTATGTGTTTCCTCAAGTAGTTTCAGCTTTGCCCATTGGGAACAATTTCATGTTGGCTTCTATACCCATTTGCAAAGCCCATATTTTTTTTAAATCAGAGAATGGTATTTAAAAACCAATATCTGGAGGAGTAATGTCAGCAAAATGGCAGAGTATGCAGCTCCAAGCTCTCATCTCCCCACAGACACATCAAAAAACAAGCAGAAAATGTCAGAACCAATTTTATCATATCTCTGCAAAATAATGAACAACTTACAGCAACTGTACAAATGCTAAATCAAGACAAAATGTGACTTCAAAATTGTAGAAAAGTTCTGTGGTGATTTTCCTTGCCCTTGTTCCACCCCTCCCCAGCTGTGCAGTAGCTTTAAAGCAATAGCCACACACATTCCCAGAGAGGCCCCCTTGTCCCTGAATCAGGAAGGAAGAGAGCAGACATTATTTGCAAATTATTGGTGTGTCTATTCGAACCTTTCTGGGAGGTACCTGAAAGACTGATGCAAGTTGTCCATCTGTTTCATCTAATGTGGAAGTCAGCACAGGAGAGCAGGTCAGAAAAGAGTCAAGCATTGTTCAAAAACACTACAAGGCATAATAGTGGCCCTCATATGCCTGGGCAAAAAATTACCTGGTCTTACACAGTTTATCCTCTCTAACATGCCTACCTCAAGGGGTCTATGTTTCCTACTTCTACTGTCTGCCATGGCAATTCTGGCATTTCTCCATCAAGTACTTAGTCATTCCATAACTCTAGGAGCCATCCTAGAAACATGTTCACATCATCCGATGCAATTCATGCTGTGGTATTAAATCTTGTATCTACGGGCACCCCCATCCAAATTTAAACTATAATGCCACTTGACTAGCAACCTTAGATTCTGGTCTCATGCCCACTCCCTGGCTCTTGCCAGTACATGACATCAGGTACTACGATTATATTGAGATATGGTCCCTATTTTACTAGCGGGCTCAACATGTCCCTGGCTGGGATATATTATGACTTTTTTCTAGTTATTGACTTAGTGGGAAGCCCCTGAAAGGCGCTGCATTAGGAAATAATTCAGTAGGATGTGACAGTGCAGCACCTGGGAGAAATGGCTGAATATAGAGCTGAAGCAGGGAAAAGGTAGAGTGATCCTGGGGCATCATCTAGTACCATAAATCAAGGATGTACATTTTTTTCCAGATTTACGGAAGCAGAGAATGTTTATAAAAATTTATTTGAGCCAAACAGAGTACACACCTGGAAGCAAGATCTCAACAGACTGAGATAAATTCTTCCAAAAAATAGCAGATTGTAGTTTCTTTTATGCATTTGAGATTAAGGATGGAACTAAGGAGGATTACATGAAGGTGAGAGAAAGTAAGAGGGTGATTGTATTACAGGATTATTAAGCTTATGTGCTTTCTTGCATGTTTTAGAAGGAGGAGTCTGAAAAGGGGCATTTCAAAGGTGTGTTAACTCAGATGCACAGAAACAATGGACGGCGCTTGCTTAAGACAAAGATAAGCCTTTTAGTAAAGAATTATATGACTGAGAAGTGACTATCCACCATGACCTACCTAGTCAGGAATTTAGGACGAGATCACCCATGAGGTTACTTTCCATAGAACCCTTTTTTTCATCCACAGCTATATAGGCCAAATAAAGATATGTGTGCATGTGATAGGTATACACTAGCATGATTTTTGTTGTTGTTGTTGTTTACAACCCCTCTTACCAGCACCCAGAGTAAGAGATAGTCCATGGAGAACACTTCAAAACTCACCGTACTGGATGGTCTTGGGAAGGTGGGAGGGTTTGGAAAGGCTGGTGACATCCATAGTCTGGTAGGATTGTGGGGACTGGTATGTGAGCAGTTTTGTATGCTAGGGTTACTTGCTTGGAGAGATCAGTGGCTTTGAGAAATTGAAGGTGCATATTTTGGGGGAAGTTGAATGTTTTGATTTGAAGAAGCCAGGAGATTGAAAAGGATTGTGAATTTGGAGTTGTGCACGGGCTTGGAGATTTTGTCATGTGGACTGTGTGGAATTAGGGGACATGGGTGTATTTGGAGAATTTTGATGAAATTGGCTGGTTTTTTTTGTGGGGAGGGGGGTGAGGAACTTGGAGGAGTGTTTCAGGGCTTGATAACTTGATAACTTGAAGTTAATGAGGTGGTGGCTTTGGGGAGTTAAGCAGGCATGGGGATTTGAGCCTCATGGAGAACTTGGGATTTGAGGAGCTTGGAAAGTTTGGAAAATAATGATGTCTCAAGGAACACTAGAAGTTTGGAGAATTTGATGTGTTAGAGTAAGTGGGTATATTCGGGCAATGTTCCTCTTCCCACCCCAATTCATACATTATATATTCAAGTTCAATTCCCTAGCACTTAGGAAGTCTAGAAGGAAAAGAATCCATAGCATGAGAGTCAGCACCATGTATCCAGATAGGCACAAATAAGTTTCTAAGATGGCTTATGAATTGTCAGTTCCAGAGGCTCAAGACATCCTGGGGCAAGCACAGAAGTAGACATGATTGTTCAGTCTTGGGAACATAATGTTCTAGTGACCTCATGACAGAAAATATGCATAAAAAGTGACTCTTTCCTGGGCTTGTGGGTGGGGCCCAACAGGGAAGTGTTCATGCAGAGTGAGAGGGCAAGTATCTGGAGACTGATCAACTCACTTCAAATGAGGAATTTCTCATCGGGGATGCCCACTTTTGAATATAAGCACAGTTATTCTTCTTAGCAGTCATATAAATGAATTCAAGGACCCTGCAGTTGCCTCGATCCTCTGTAATGAGGATTGAAGAGTATTTATGTGAATCCAGGGTCTTACTATTTTACCAGGATTTACTGGATTCCAGAAACTCACTCCATTCTTTTTTGGCCAGGGCTGGTTTTTTAATGTTGTATTTTGGTGGGAAGAATCGGTTTGTTTACCCGATGATATTGATTCATGAAAAATCATATTCTCACTGACACGACAAAAACCATGGAATTAAGCACAGCAGGCAGAGGGAAAGGGAGTCACAATGCAGACAACCCCTATTGTGAAGGGATGGAAGAGTTTACCCCTCAGTCTCTTGAGGAGTGATCAGAGTCTATTTCTTCTAAGATTCTCCAATGTAAAGGGGAATCCTGCAGGCGACAGCTATGCCTCCCCCCCCCGACCCAGTCGGGGGTTGGGAGGCTTCAGACAGGTGCCACTCTGCTGCCCAGGAAGAGAATGTGGGAAGCCAGAGACCAAGAGAGAGCGATGTGAGAGAGACAAAGAGGAAGAGAGAGAACGAGCTGAAGAGAGAAAGGAGGGCACACAGAGATACAAAGACAGACACAGTAAGAGAGGCAGATGAAGACGCAGAGACAGAAGTAGATTCAGAGACAAGGAGTCTCAGGCAGAGACATTCAGAACACGGAAGAGAGTCCAAAGCAGGTGCGTCCACACTCACGCTAGTCCTCACACTAAAATAGTCTGCTACGACCACTCTAATGCCACCCAGATTAAAAAGAGCAGATCCAGCCGCAGCGCCCCTCTTTCTATACTGACGCTTTCCAGGGGGGCGGATCCCAGGGACGGGCGGCGGGCCCTTGCCCAGCCAATAGTGGCACACAAAGGTTAGAGGGACGTTTCCCCCAAACAACGCGACCCAGAAGCCTCTCGAGGCCACGCTCACGTTCGCCTGTGTCAGACCTGGATTCTTAATCTGAATAGCTCCGCCCACAGGGCCCTGTGTTCCAAAGAGAAGTCAGCTCGGCCTTTTGCCTGTCTGGGTAAGCCCTGATCAGCCTGCACATTGCCCTGCGCCGTGAGGAGGTCCACCGCTAGCGTTTCCCTTTTTCCAGAGGCCGCTAGTCCTTTGCCTGGCTGACTAGGAGACTCATGAAATTCTCCCTCCTTCTGAGAGGCCCACCTCCCGCTTTAGCAGCCGAGTCCCATACGCTGGCCAGGTTGCGCACCGCACTCTTATTGGAAGCAGCGACCGTCCGTCAAGCATTCTGCCCAGACGCTACTCTGTCCTCATCCCCCAGCCTTTCCTGGTAGGTAAGGGAGGGTGAAGTTGCCTCGACTCTGGGGAAGCGCGTCTATTGGTCCGGCACGGTATCTGTCATTGCTTAGGCTGCGAACATCCTCGAGTGAAGTGGGGGAATTACCTCGAGCCTTCGATTGGGTCGGGGAAAGTGTCAGTCAAGGAATGGGCGGGTGCAATCCCCATCCAACGCACAGTACTGGTAGAGGTACAACGCAAAAAGGTGGGGGTTGCACGGCGCTGGCGCCCTCCGTGCTCCGGATTGGCTGCACGTGAGCCGCGCCCCCCTCGCGCGGACAGCCTTCAGTAAGAGACTTGGGCCCGGCTGGCCTCCGGAAGCCGCGCGAGCGGGTGCGGTGAAGAGGAGAGCAGAGAGGGCTCGCTGGGTTCCCAGCCAAATCCGACGTATATCTGGGAGTGGCGCGCGCCATCTCAACGGTGAGGGACCACCGGTGAGCGGTGGGAGAGGGGGGTCAGGCGCCGCGGGGAGCGAATGAAACTCCGCAACAGGAAGTTGCTTCAGAGCTGCGTCGCACCCGGAAGTGTGGCAAGACAGCAGGCGCATCCGGAAGTGTGATGCTACCGTGGCTACGGGAAGTAATGGTACCTGGCCAGTTGAGATACCGGGTTAAAACAGGTGTTTATGTATCTTTATTTCCTGAGGCTCGGTAGAGGCTTCCTTTTAGAAGAGTGTTGGAGGGTGCACGTGTTCGGTCATGTTTTTTAATGTCTCGTCCCATTTAAAAACCGAGGGGAAACGAGCACTAAGAAGAGTGTGTACAAGGGCCAGGCTCAGTAAAGGCTTTTAAGTTTCTTTTGCTTTCCCTCACCCTCAGTTCCCTCCCCCACCGGGATGTGCAGATGGAGGCCGGAGGAGACACTGCTGCCCCAGCCCCCGGGGACGCGGAGGACTTGGAGGACACGCGGTTCACCAGTGAGGAGGCTGGAAAGGGTGGAGGGGTTCACGAGGACCTGCCAGATCCCAGAGACGGGGGCCTGGAGGAAACAGGTATGCTTTCCCCTCACCAGGGTCGTGGAAGGACTCTATAGGGGGTGTCATTGTTGAGAGAGTACAATGAGGGACCAGTAAAGAGTCTTTGGGGACTCACAGAAGTAGCTTAAACCATAGCCGGGTCCATAGGAGGTAATTGTTGACCCACATTGTAGTTTAAATCATTGAGGAATGAATGCTCACTAGGGACTTGGAATGAGTGTAGGTCTTTGAGGAATCAAAAAGGGATCAGTTGGTGTCAAAGTGGGCATTGGGGATTTAGGATGTTTAGGTCAATGATTGACCAAAAGAAAGTTAATAGGGGCAAAGGTGGACTACTTAGAAATCAGTGTTTGTGGGGGTTGGAGTGTTACCTGAGTCATTGAAGTTGGGAAAGAGATCAATGGGAGCCAGTGTGCACGCAGAGTATTTACATCGTTGAGAAATAATGGCGAGTTGTCTGAGGCATTCTTTAAGGAAACAGATATTAGTGGATGTTAATGGTAGTCATTGGTGGGGAGGCAGTGGACATCAATGAGATTATTTGGAGAGTCAGAGGACCAGTAGGAGGGTCTCTAAAGACCCAGCTGGATGCGTAAAGGTATTCTGTGGAGAACCAATGAGAGTCATTGGGGAACCATTGCTCACAGACCACTTTGGAATTAATGGGTGTTAATGAGATCATTGGGAAGGATCAGGGGACATCACTGAGAATAAATGGGGGCAAAATCTTTGAAAACTTAGGAATTATTGGCAAGCAATGGCAGTTATTGGGAGGAGGAAATAGGTAATTGGGGGCATGTGGAGTCAGTGAGGGAATATGAGGTCATTAGGATTTTATGGGAAAATTGTTGAGACATAGTTGCCAGTGGATAATAATGGTTGTCTTTGGGGGATCAGTGGAAATTAACTGGAATAAATGGGAGAGGTATCTAGGGAGTCAGCAGGGGAGGCAAGGAAATCATGGGTTTCATTGGTGATTGTTAATTATGATCATGGGGAAGGGCAGTGGAGGTCATTATTAAAATCCTGTGTGTTATTGTATATTATGGTGGTTATTGTAGGAAAGGGACTGGATATCACTGAGAATAAAAGGGGGGTCAGGGCAGTCAGTGGAGGTCCCTGAAGTCCTGGGTGTTAGTCGAGATTAATAGTGATCACTGGGGAGAAGAGAGAATAGTATAAAAGAGGGTTGGTGGAGTCAGCAGAGGTCACTAGAAGTCTTGGGTGTTAGTGGTGGTCATGGTGGGGATGGAGTGGACATAGAATAGAATAGAATGTGGGTCAGGGCAGTCACTGAAGGTCATTGAAGACCCAGGTATTAATGATGTTAACGTGGGGTCATTGGAATGTTAGTGAACAGCATTAGGATTACATATGGGGTTAAGGGAGTCCTAAAGATCTGGGTGTTGTTGGTGGATATTCATGGCAGTCATTGAGAGAATTAGTGGTCATCACCAAGAATATAAATGGGTGATCAGAAGAGTTAATGGGATCATTAGGGATTAGTGGACATCAGTGAGACTAAATAAGAGGTTATGGTTGTGGGAGCGGGGAGCATTCTAAGACCCAAATATAAGTAGATGTAGTGGTTGCCATTGAAGGACGAGTAGATAACAGGAGAATAAGTGAGGAGTTAGAGGTATTAATGGGGGATCGTTGAAGATGAAGGTCATTCAGAGGCAATGGGGTGCTTTGAAGACTTGGGAACGGCAGTTATTGAAAAGGGAATAATTGGTATCTAGGGAAATAGAGGGTGCAATTATGATAATGAGAGATTGGATTATCTGAGTTTTAAGGTCATGTATACAAGTGAGGGGCAGAGGAGGTACCTTGCAGTCTGTCAGCATCAGGGGTCACTGGGGCTGGTAGGGATTTGGTGGGTCCTTGGGCACATGGACTTAGTGGGAGTCCACATGCACATGACTTACCAGGGCCTCCCTTTCAGGATCTGAGACCAAAGACCAGCCACCTGGCATGCTGTCACCACTGCCCCAGTCAGAGGCCTCATCATATACCTGTGGACTCTGGGATCCTGCAGCCTCTGAAAATAGTCCCACGGGTGACTCTGAGAGTGATTCTGGAGGCCAGGGTGGGGACCCCAGTGACGAGGACTGGCGCAGCAAGCGAAAGCATGTGTTTGTGCTGAGTGAGGCAGGCAAGCCCATCTACTCAAGGTATGGTAGTGTGGAGGCACTGTCGACTACCATGGGTGTGATGACAGCCCTCGTGTCCTTCGTGCAGAGTGCAGGAGATGCCATCCGCGCCATTTATGCTGGTGAGCAAAGAGTCAGGAGGCAGAACAGTGGACAATGACTGGGAATATAGATATGGCTGGCTGGCTATCTGTAAGTCTGTCTGTCTGGCTTCCTGGGGCATTGTCCAGCCACCCAGGGGTGGGTTAGTGTGTGTGTGTGGTTGGCCAAGCATCTGAAAGGGGGCCTGCGGGGGTTGTGTCCATCTATTTGTTTGGCCTTCTGGGTTCTGAGTGATTAAGTCACTGGGATCTAAGTGACTGGCTGGATACTTCCTTTTTTATCTGAGAGTATGATTTTGGGGGCTGTGTGTCTGAGTTGTGTGCCTTTCTGGTTGTGTGTCAGTTCTTGTTCCATCTTGCCCTACTTCATGCCGTGTGTCTAACCTGATTCCTTGACCATCCCATCTTGCCTCTACAAATGATCAGATTCCACCAGCTCGTCCTTATACCCTGGTCCAGTGTCCACAGAGTGAATGTGCAAGCTCAGGCCAGAGTTGTATGTGTTCAGGAAAAGGGTGGAAGAGCCTCACCTGACCCCCTCCAGTCACCACTGACTCTTTTCTACCCCCTGCCCCATCTCTTCTCTCCCCTAGAGGACCACAAGCTGGTGTTCCTACAGCAGGGCCCACTGCTGCTGGTGGCTGTATCAAGGACTCCTCAGTCAGCAGCCCAGCTGCGGAGGGAGCTGCTAGCTGTGCACGCACAGATTGTGAGCACATTGACACGTGCAAGCGTGGCCCGCATCTTCGCCCGTAAGCAGAACTATGACCTTCGCCGCTTGCTGGCCGGCTCAGAGCGCACACTGGACCGGCTTCTAGACAGCGTAGAGCGGGACCCAGGTGCCCTGCTCCTGGGCGCTGTGCGCTGTGTGCCCCTTGCTCGCCCACTGCGGGAAGCACTAGGTGTACTGCTCCGACGTTGCACAGCACCCGGCCTGGCACTATCAGTGCTGGCAGTGGGTGGTCAACTGGTGACAGCAGCGCAGGAGCGGACTGTGCTGGCTGAGTGCCGGCTGGACCCAGCCGACCTGCAACTGCTGCTCAACTGGGTGGGTGCACCAGCCTTCGCAGCGGGAGAGGCATGGGCACCTGTGTGCCTGCCCCGCTTCAACCCTGATGGTTTCTTCTATGCATACGTGGCCCGCCTGAATACCATGCCTGTCTGTCTGCTGCTGCTTGGCACCGACCCCGAGGCCTTCCATGACATGGCCACCTGTCGACGCCTGGTTGAAGACGGCATGCACACCCTGGGTGCAATGCGTGCCCTTGGGGAGGCTGCCGGCTTCTCTAATGTCCCATCATCCAATGCCCCTGCCTACAGTGTACAGGCTGTGGGGGCACCTGGTCTCCGGCACTTCCTCTATAAGCCACTGGACATCCCCGACCATCACCGCCAGCTGCCCCAGTTTACCAGGTAGGTCATGACCCCGTGGACAATTGGCCAGGCGAGAAGGCTTATCTAAGTGGAATGTTCAGCATCTCATAACATGACTTGGGAAAGAGAGCCAGCGATGCTCTAGAAAGATGGAATAGAAGGAATCTCTGATGAGCGAGGCTCAGCTACCGGTCTCAAGGAATCCCTTATTCTGATGGAGATGAGGGCCCCAGTACTCAAGGAATCCCTAAGTTTGATGGGGAAGCTGGGCCTCCAACCACTGAGATTCCTAAAGCCTGATGGGAAAGGCTCAGCTCTGTAACTTAATTGAACTTCCGAGACTGAGGGGAGATGGGCCAGCCAAGAAAGCCCTAGATTGACCCTGTCCCCACCTCCCTCCATCACTGCAGCCCTGAGCTAGAGGCCCCGTACAGCAGAGAGGAGGAACGGCAGCGCCTGTCAGACCTGTACCACCGCCTGCATGCGCGCCTCCACAGTACCTCCCGACCCCTGCGCCTCATTTACCATGTGGCTGAGAAGGAGACACTGCTGGCCTGGGTGAGTTGGGTAGGACTCTAAAGGGGTTAATTCCCCACTTCAAGCCTCCTTTCCCTCCATTGTATCCCCTTCGACCATAACGAACTCCATTCATCAAGCACACTACGCCTTTGCCTGGAGTATGTATGCTTTTGCCTCTAACACTGTCCCTGCCATCACACACATCTTTGAAACCCATAAGGACCAATCCTCCAAACCTCCCATTAGCCCCATCATTCTGTTTGCTGTTCCCTCTTTAGCAACCAGTAGTGTCTTCAACTTTCAATAGGCCCCATTAACAACGATCACTGTGCCTGCTTATTTCTCATTTTCCCTTTAGGCCCACCCATATGTCTGCAGGCACCAGCTCAGTTTTGACTTCATGAGTCCCTAGCACTCCTTGAACACCACAGGCTTGGTTCCATGCTGTGCCTTCTACCTGGGTTATTCTTCCCTGGGGTCTTTTCAGAGTTCTCTGCCTCACTTTCTATTAAAGGTCAGCTCTTCTGGGTGTTTGGTTAAGGTGACCTCATTGGCAATGACACCTTCCCCCAGGCTCCATTTAGTGCACAGTTATTAAATCATTTATTGTATGCCTATTGTTTATCAGGAATTGTTCTAGGCCAAGTGTTTAATTTTTTAACTTTCATTTCCAAGCAATTTTAGACTTAAAAAGAAGTTGCAAAATGGTAGAAAGAATTACTATAAACACTTCCTTTACCTGGTTTCTTGAGATGTTAATATGACCACTGGAATTTATCAAAATCAGGGAATTAGCGTCAGTACAATTACATCTACCTCGCAGACTTCACTCACAGTTCACCGCTTGTCCCACTGATATCCTTTTAGTGGTCCAGAATCTGGTCCAGGATCACATGTTAGATTTATTTACCATGTCTTCCTACTCTCGCTTATTTTGAAAGAGTTCCTCAGTCTTTTTTGTCTTTCATGACCTTGGTGAGTACCAGCCAATCATTTGAAGAATGTCCTTCAGCTTGTGTTTTTCTGATATTATGACTAAATTGAGGTTATGCATTTTGGGAAAGAATATCACAGAAGTGATGTTGTGCCCTTCTCTACATCATATCAGGAGGCCCATGATGTCATTTTGTCCCACTGTTGATGATGATAACTTTGATCACTTAGTTAAGAGTGGTGTCGGCCAGACTTCACTATGAAGTTAGTATTTTCTTCCTTTGTAATTAGTATATATGTGATGACTATGTCAGTGTTTCATCCATTACTTTTAATATCCATTAATGATTCTTGCTTGCAAGTTATCACTCTGATGTTTAAAGATGGTGCTTTTTCTAACCTTATCATTCCTTCTACACTTATTGTTTGATACTCTACTTATGGAAGAACTTTTCCTCTTCCTATATTTGTCTATTGAATTTCTAATTTTATATCAGTTTGGTCTCATGGATTTTTCAGTAATTCAGTGGGCTAAAAGTCTTTTCTTTCATTTATTTCAGTGCTCGAATTGTCTCTGATTTAGCCAGTGGGAGCTAAATATCCCCATCACTGCATGAGTACTTCTTACTTTTTGGCACAGGATGTTCCAAGTTCATCTTGTACTTTCTCTTTGCCAGTCCATGAAATCAGCCGTTTGTCCTAGGAGCCCTTGTACTTTCTAGTGGAGAGTAGTAGTTCAAAACCAAGATATGGTAGGCCCAGGATTTTAAATTAGGTGGTCAGGGGATGGCATCTAAGTTGGGGGTAGTGGGGAGGTAGTGGGTCATGAGGGTATCTGGAGGAAGAGTCCACCCAGCAGAGGGAAAGGACTATGCAGATGCTCTGAGGTGGAACTGAGCCTGGTTTACGTTTGAGGCTATAGCGGCTGGAACAGAGGGCGCAGGAGGGGAGCAGTGAGAAGTGTGCGGAAAGGTGCTGGTGATCAGATCAGGTTAAGTCTCTCATGTTGGTATGAAGATTAAATTGAATTAATCCTCACATTAAGTTCAGGTTACATATAATGAAAACATAGGTGTGTGGAGCTCATATACAACAATTGCTCATTAAATGTTAAGCATCGTTGTTACACCCAGCCACAGATGAGCGAACTGAGGTCCAGAGAGTACACACACACGTACAGCCAGCATAACCCAATTGATGCCACTAGACCTAGATGATCCCTTGGCCCAACTGAGAACTTCTGGCCCATCCATGACACAATATCAGCTTATGTGCTTTAGCCCAGTGACCAGGCAGGACCAGGTGGGAGTGAGTGCCAGCTGTGTTTCCAGACAGGAGACAGGCACGGGGCTAGGGTTGGGCACAGCCCCTGTAGCCCAACTGACTGTCTCTCCTCAAACCCACAGGTGACCTCCAAATTTGAGCTCTATACCTGCCTCAGCCCCCTGGTGACCAAGGCAGGTGCCATCCTGGTAGTGACCAAACTCCTGCGCTGGGTGAAGAAAGAGGAGGATCGGCTCTTCATTCGTTACCCACCCAAGTACTCCACACCCCCAGCAGCCCCGGCTGCTTCTGCAGACCAAGCTTCCCATAACGGCTTGTTCACTGGACCTTGAGAAGCAGAGCTTCCAGATTGGGCAGTGCTGGGAATAACCATCTTTGGCTTTTACCTTCCGTCTCCACCCTGGAAATGAGGTGGACAGGGTGGGACGTGGTTGATGGTGGTGTCTGTGGCTGGTCCCTCTCTCCCTGTGCAATGGGGCAAGATCTGAGGACCTGCCCACAAATGAGAGATGGGTGGCAACATGACTGCACACAGGTAAGCAGGCTGCATCTCAGCTCCCTCATGTACCTCCACCTTTGGAGAAATCCTTAGGCCTCTCCCCCTCCCTCTGCTTCACCTCCTCTACTTGGATGACATTCCAGTTTTTGTCAAGCTATCTACTAGTCTTAGGCTCTTCCCTGCATCCAGAGTCTGCCTCCTCAATGACCTCTCAGTCCTTGAGTGTCCAGGGCTGGCCAATGTCTCTTTGGGTGGCCCATAGGGGTTCTGGAATTGGGAATACAGGGCCAGCCTGTGCACATAAAATGCCTAAACCAATCCCTACATGGACATTCTTTTACCCTTCATGTACTTCATCTTTGCCCTGTCACCCATGTTGGCTGCTGCTAATATTAATGGGAAGGTGGTCCCCAGTCTACCTGTATGTGTAACCCAGGACAAAGCCCCTTGCTGTACACGTTGGCTGAAAGCCAGAATTTTTACATAGGAGTTACATTTAGCTTCTAAGGCTTATTCTGCCCATTCATGAAATGAAGAGAACCTCTCACAAGCTGTTGATTTGCGAACTTAAAGGGATTCGAACATCTGTGTACCACCGAATAATACATGCACATCTGTCCCAGACTTTCTCACAACCTGCACAATACAAGCAACCTGGAGAGGGAGAGAAGCCTTGTAGAGTTTGTATGTGTACGCACAGAACTCACTCCCCGACCCACTAAGACCCTAGGTCTGCCCTTGTTTCCTCTAACCTGGGGTTGGGGCGCATGGAGCCAACTGCCAACCGGGTAGTGGTGAGCGGACGCGCACTGCACGCGTGCGCACTGCAGAGCCTGTGTACGCTCGTAGGGATTTATTTCCCCAACCAGTTGTCCAAGGCGCAGGCGCAGAAGCCACGCGTTAGAAGATGGCGGGGAAGTTGGAGCCTTTGGAAGTGGAGCCGCCAGAAGTTGTAGAGGAGGCTGAGGCGGGTAAAGGTAATGAGGACAAGCTGGCTTCTCCCAGCCGGGGCAAAAGGCGGGAGACTTCGTCCCATTACAATAATGAAATATTGGTAGAAGTACTAAAATAAGTCAAATTTTAAGCTTTTTATAAAATACTGTTCAAAGGGGAGATAACATGTATATTCTCATCATGTAGATCACCTTGTCAGCTTCTTTGGATATATTGCTTAGTATTCTAAAGTAAACAATAGATTAAAGACTTCAGTATGCATCTCTTCAAGCAACGAGTGCTGGTTGACATTCTCACAAAAACCACTGCTGCTTCCACATCTAAGAAAGTTAATTCTCCAAAATCATTTGACACCCAGTGCATACCACACTTTGCATGGACTCTTACATATTGTTTGACAATGGCCACTCCCACAGACGGCTTCTTTTCTCCAGGGCGTTTTGATAATGACACCCACACTCCAGTGAAGGGGAAAAAAAGTCCTACAGACAAGTGGAAATTGCAGTCTAACCAAAATCTCTCAAGACGGTGATCCACTACTGTGCCACATTTTTAACTAGGAATTTTCAAAAGGTACCCAAGTTCAGAAAATAGCATGTCGAATGCCCATATACCCATCACTGTTTCAACAGTTTTCAACTTTCTGCCCTCCTTTATAACTCCTCTTCCTGCACAGCCTTTAAACCACTATATTAATAAACATGTTGGATTGCATTTCTCCAGACCTATCCATGCAGACATCAACAATAATGACTATTTACTTGTTTATTGTCCTAGCATGTGAGCTGTGTGAGAACCATTTATTGCTGTTTCTCCAACACTCAAATAATGCCTGCTTGGCATATAGTAGGTGCTCGATAATTATCTTTGTTTAATGTATGAATAATGAAATAATTTTAACACGGAGAGCTCTTAGGTTAGGGCCACACATTGAATGCCAGCTTTCAACAATGGAGACAGAAATGAGAGAGATGCAAATAGACCTCATTTATTAAGCACTCACTATAGCTGATGCTGTTCTGAAAAATTTAGTATCAGTCTTTCAAATTTACCAAACTTGAAGTTATTCACCAGCAATGGAGAAACTTTAAAAGCATAACAAGTTCCCATTTCTAGCCATCAAAATTGACTTTATAAAAGGAGGGATAATAATCTAGTATTGATTACTTTGTGGAGAAAAAGGCCATCTCTTAACTACTGGAGGAGCTGACCAGTAGAGGCTGTGCTAGAGACAGTTTGGCAGAACATTTTGAGCATCCAAAGTGCTATTTCATCTCTTAAGTCACCATGCTTGGTAATCAGAATACACATGTGCGGATAAGGAAGGGTCATTGGAGTTTTGTCATTGAAAGCAAAACACAAGGAGAAATCATGGAGAGTGAATTTAGGTATATCCATGCATGTTGTGGAATGCCTTTATAGTGGACTTCTTTAAGCAGCAGGAAAAAAAAAATTTTTTTATTTGATTTAAAATAATTAAAAATTAATTTAAAAAGGATAAGACCATGATTTATTTATAGAGAATGAGCTCCAAAAGAGATCATATTTTTATGAGAAGAATGCAAGTTGGACTGAAAAAAAGTATCAACTGTGTTCCTGTGTGTTGCACAGATAGATGTCTATAGGCTAAAGGCCTAACTAAGCACTCTTAACAAGGGACTTGGGTTTGGGGGGCTGCGCAGAAGTGGAGGCATTTTTTTATTTTTATTTTTTGTTTTTTCTTTTAGGAAAATATAAGTAGTACTATATAATTTTAAAACATGAGAAAGGGAAAAATTTGAATGGCATCTGAGTATCTTAATATTTGTTACTATTAACATCTTGGTTTTGGTGGTTATACAGTGGTTACCTGGTAGATTCCCTTGTATAGAGGAAATATGCACTGGAACATTAAAGAATAATGGGCCATGGTGTCTGTAATTAATGGTACAGAAATGCTCAAAAATGAGAAACCTGATAACAAGGACAAATAGGAACATTGCGGTCTATTTCTACAACTTTTATGTACATCCGAAATTATTTCAAAATAAAATGTTTAAAAGGGGTTCATGCTCTGTTGGCTGTTTTGTAACAGATTTTTAAAAAAATTTTCATCAAGATATTAACTTAAAGATAATAGTATTATTTAAAAGATTTACTGATCGCCCATAATCCTACCCTACAACTAGAAACTAGAAATACAGGGAAGAAGAAAAACATTGAGCTTTCACAGAAATGGTCGCAAAAGCCAGATATAAAAGACAAATGGAGATAATCAGGGAAAATCACAGATGTCCTGGGTATTAGATGAATTTAAAGATCCAGTGATTAGCAAAGATTGTTAATCTTGCTGTGATTATAGGCTTGGAGTCATCTAAGCGATTGTCTTCAAGTAGTGAGACAATGAAGTATCTAGGGATAGAATGTCATGAAGCTAGGGCTTGCTTGAAAATATTTCAGCACAAGAAAAACATGGCTGAAGCAAATATTCGTGAATATTAACGACTCAGATTGGAGTGATGAGTAAATCAGTTCATCGTGATATCTGCCCTACTTTCATGTACATTTGGAAATTTTCATAGTGAAATATTTAAAAAGAAAACAATCTCAAATACCTCTCCTTATTCAAATAGCTTTAATTTTTTGTTTAATTTCCAAATGTTAAGAGTATTTAAAAAATTTTTAAGTCTCAAGAGGAAACATACCACCCTATTAATAGTGTTATATCAGAGAAAAGCACTGAGATTTATGGCCAAGGAGAGAAGGGATAGTTTCATTTTTAACTTCACATATTTCTGTAGTGTTTGAATGTTTTTAGAATGTTACTTGGATAAGAAAGTAAAAAAGCAATACATGAAATACATGTTACTGAAAGATCTGAGTGTCTTCACCAAACTGTTGTCAATGGTTACTTCTGGGAAGGGGAGTGACTTGGAGAAGGGGCTGTTGATAAGAGGAGACTTTTATTTTTTATTCCATATTCTTATACATTTGTTTATTAAGTAATTTAAAAATTCAAATGCAAAAGTAAATAAGTGCATACTAATTTGTAAAATATTTCAGGCAAGACAAAAAGATGTAAAGAAAATGAACATGCCACCAGATATTTCAACAAAATGTAATAAGCTCAGGTTAAGAACCCCTGGTTTACAATGTGATTTTAATGGCTGCAAAGACTTTAACCTTATGAGTGTGCTATAGTCAGCTAAGGTGTATTTAGGGTGCTTTTATCTTTTAAAATTACAAACAATGAAACAATGACCGTCTTGCCCACCATCCTTCATTATTTCAAGATAGATTCCTAGAAGTGGAATTTCTGATCCAGAAGATGTAAGTTTTGGATACTTACCACCAGAAAGTTTGAAATGCGATACTGTTTTCACCTATCAGATAGGCAAAAAATCAAAAAGGTTGAAAACATACTTGGCTGGTAAGACTATGAGGAAGGAGTCTTTTCTGGGCCTGCCCAAAACAGGTGGGGGGCAATTCCATAATACCAGTCAAATTTAAAAATATACAGGTCCTTTGATCCAGCAGGTAGCTTTCTAGGAGTTTATCCAATAACACACTCCCATGTGTGCACAAAGAAGAATGTATAAGGATAGCGTACTGGGTTGAATTGTGTACCCCCCAAATTTCTTGTCAACCAGAACCTCAAAGTATGACATTATTTGGAAATAGGGTCTTTGTAGATGTAACTAAAGATGAGGTTATACTGGATTAGGGTGAGCCCTAATCCAATGACTGGTGTCCTTATAAGAGGAGGGAAATTTGGACACAGGAAGATAGAATGCAAGGTGAAGACACAGACACACACAAAAAGAAGCCCCAGTTTGTGGTACTTTGTTTCTACAGCCCAAGAAAACTAATAAAGATGGTCACTGTGGCATTTAGAACAGAAAAAGAAGGGAAACAACCTAAATATCTACCAGTAGGGGGCGGCTCTTAAATTATAGTATAGTCACTAAAAACAATAAAGAGATCACCAGTATACGTTGTCAGATGGAAAATACAGACTGTGGCACACCATTTATGACATGATGCCCCTTATATAGAAGGAGTAAACATATGCTTGTATCTGAATTGAATTACCTCCAAGTATGCATGAAAGCTTGTAACACTAGCAACCTCTGGGGAGGGGAATTGAGGAACTTAGGGTCTGAAGAGAAGGGACTTTTCACTGTATACTACTGTGGGTAAGCCCTTATTCATGTATCTGTTGTCTATCTTGTGATTTGTGAGCTGCCTGTAATCTCTGCCCAGTTTTCTTTGGAGGGAAGTGGACCACTGGGATTTGACCTTTTGTTATCGATTTCAAGAGTTTAAGATGTTATTTGTTGTTGTTATTTTAAAAGTAACACAGGCTCATGTTAAACATATATAGAGGCACATATGGTAAAAAGTGTATTTGAATCAAGATCCAAATAAGGTTTGTTCATTACAATTGATTTATATCTCAAGTTTCTTTTAATCATAGTTTCCCTTCTTCTTTTTTCTTTTTTGTAATTAATTTTTTGAAAAAACAAAATTGCAAGATTGTCCTGTGGAGTTTCCCAGAGTCTTATAATGCTGATCGCATCCTTTAACATGTTTCTCTGCTCCTTATATTTCCTTTTGTTACTTAGAAATGGAAACCTGATAAGATTCCTTTTTTTTGGGGGGAGGGGGGTTGGCAAGAATCCTTCATTATGTTCTTTCATCAGGAGGCTCATAATACCTTATTGTCTTTTTTCAATGTTAGCAGTCATTAATAACTATTTCCTAGACTCATAAATTCTTTAAGAATTTGCTAATCGTAGCCTATAATGATTTTAAAGAAATTCATATGAAATCTTTCTGCCCTATCACACTGGTTAGAAATTCATACTGATTCTGAGCAGCAGCAGCACAAAAGTGCTTCCCCTTCTCTCACCCCTGCGTTCCATTAAGGGGACATCCATGGTGTCCTTTGACCTCTCAGAAAGACATTGATCATTAGGGTTCCTGATTCATCCAGCATACACCATAAACCTCCAGGACAAGGAAGGCATGGGGCCCTGCAGGGCCCCTGCTCTGGCTGGAAGCCTGGCCCTCAGCCTGTTCTCAGTTCTAGCCCAGGGTTGTCTGCAGAACCCACTAGGACTCCCTTCTCCCTTACTAGAAAGGCCTGGACCTTTCCTTAGTCCCCTCTCACTCTTGCTGGATCCTATAATTCTGGTTTTCATCTCCACAGGGCAGACCAAGTCTTCGAAGAAGTCTGAAGACTTGCTGGCAATGGTGAAAAAGCTGCAGAAAGGTCATGTCTCTCCTTCTATCTGGGGTTTTGAGTCAGGCATGTGGCTCAAACCCAGCCCCCTCAACTCACAACCTTGGGAAATTATCCACTTCCACTTTCTCCCTCTAAGACAATTTATTCTTTGAACCAAAAATATAGCTTCAAAATTCAAGAAGTATAAGGGGATGGGAAAGCCCTACCCTCTTACACACTGACCCCTCCCACCCGCCAAAAGCCTTTGACTTGATCACAAGACAAATACTATATTTGAACAACACACACACACACACACACACACACACGCCATCCATTTCCCTGATCCACAGGCCAGCAGCAATTATTTTTAGATTCTTGGGTATTTTTCTGGAGATTTTTAAAACATACATTCTTGGGTGTATGTTCTTTGTCTACCCTTTTTATATACAAATGGCTTTGCCCCTTGCTTTGCTTGTTGAGGGGGACCTGGGAGCCAGCCTACATCAGTGCTGAGCAGATCTTCAGAGAAATTTCAGGACTGGAAATGCAGTGACTCTGACCACCTCCGGTAAAATGAAGACTCCTGGGGATTGGTTAGTCATAATCAGCACCTTGGAAGTACCCGCTGCCCTAGAAGACGCAGGAGCTTGAGTTGGTGGCCTCGGAAAATCCAGGGCTTGAGCTTATTAACACCAGCATGCTAGGGTTGGTAGCAAGTGTTTGGAAGTCTTTTGCCCCAACTCTGTGCTGTTGACCTTGAAGCCAAGATGGATGGGAAGGAAGGCTTGTCCATACAGAACGTTGCTAATGGGGCTGAAAGAAGGTAGAGATAACTCCACTAAAGAGAAAGTGACCTCCTGTCACTTGAGAACTTGAAAGCTGCCACCCACAAAATGAAAGCAGTATTTCCCCCATTTCTCTAATGAGGCCAATACCAGTCTGGTTGGACAGAAGTGACAACTGTCCTGCCAGGCTTTTAACAGGATGAGGCAGGCGGAAGGTCTCTGTTGGCTCTCACCACACTCAGAATTACATCTAGAAGCCTCCACTATGTCCCAGGAGGCCCTGATTGATCTGTACCTCCCCTTCCCCCCACCTCACCTCCTGCTACTTCCCACTTGCTTACTATACTCAGACCTGCCACAACAGCCCCTCGGCCATTACTTTGGACAAGTGCTTCCCTCGCTCCCACTAAAGGGACCATGCACTTGTCCCTCTGCTTGTCAGGGTTCCTCCCTCCACACCCCTCACCCCCACAGAACTGCAGGGCTTCCATCCCTCTCTTCATCTGGGGCCTTTCCATAATTCAAGAAGTACCTTCTACCCTTTCACTCTTCATTCCCTTGCTTTATTTCCCTTTACAGCAGTTACTGCCACCCACATTGATAGCATATATCTTTGTTTAATGTCCATATCTCTCACCCAGAATGTAAACCCTGCAAGGGTCTCTTACAGAGCCCGTGCCATACAACAGGCAGTCAGTAAATGCCTGTTGATTAATAGCAGCAGAGACAGTGCCAATACCCACTCTCCCTCCATTTGTCTTGGACAGCCAGGCATCTGACTTCTCTGGATCAATCTATCCTTCTGCAGAGGGAAGCCTGGAGCCACAGATAGAAGACCTGATTAATCGGATTAATGAGCTTCAGCAAGGTAAATTCTGGGTCCTAGGCTGGCCAGCTGTCCAGGAAGGACCTGGACTTTGAATGCTTCCATTTCCTCATCTATAAAATCCAACCCCCTCCAGGTTGTTTGAAGAAGAGTGTGCAATGTCACAATCTGCGAGAGAATAGCAAGGCTAGAGACTGTACTCACACAGTGTCTTCTTCCTTTCTGTGGCCCAGCAAAGAAGAAATCCAGTGAAGAATTGGGAGAAGCCCAAGGTCTCTGGGAGACGCTGCACAGGGAATTGGACTCCTGTAAGTGATTCCTGCCGATATTCCTGTGCACACCTCAGAGTCCTTGCACAGGCTGTTCCCTCTACCTGCTTTGCTCTTATTCCCTATAATCCAGATTTCTCTTGCTATCTCCAGTCATCTTTTAGCTCTCAGCTCAAATTCACCCTACCTTGATGGTCTCATGTGAAAACAGAATACCACCTTATGTCACTCACACTATTGTTTGACTTGTTTCTTCCCAGCCTTTATTTCTATCTGACTTGGTACATTTATTTATTTCTAGACATCTCCCCGCTCAGTATAAACCTTATGCATTCTGCAGAGTCTTTACTCCTTTGGCATTTACAGGGAATATGGGCATTGAGGGGGAGAAGCTGGATCAGGATGGTCTCCAGTGGGAGATGGGTGCAGATGGCAAGAACACACTTCCCTTCCCCTCCTCCGGGGCTCTACCGGACTTTCCGTGTGACCTTGAGCATGCCCAGGATATAGCCCCTTCCTTGGAGGCTCAAAGTGTCACTGTGTTTTCCAGTGAATGGAGAGAAAGTGCACCTAGAGGAAGTCTTGAGCAAAAAGCAAGGTATTTACCAGCTGCTCTGTCTTCATTATTCTACCCCACCACTCCAGAAAAGCCCACAGTCCCCAGACCAGCCGGCAGAACCTCACTGAAACCTGTGTCAGTATGTTTCCCTCTCTGCTCAAGTCTCTTGGTTGCTATCTGACTTGAAGTAAATACCTAAGTCAGTGCCCTCCAATGCCCATCACCTCCACTCAAGCCTGACTCCCCAACAGCTCTCACAGGCCCCTCTTGGTTCTTCTCCCTACAGAAGCACTGAGGATCCTCCAGCTGCATTGCCAGATGAAAGACAGCGAGGCTCAGAGGTAAAAGGTCCTACCCAGCTCTTCCCCACCTTATTCCCCAGCCTGAAGGAGGAGGAAGCAAGAACTAGGGAAAGTAAATATTGGACACACATTCTTCATTTCCCCTTTCTAGAAAACAGACTAGCTGAACAAGAGACTTCCACGCTCATCTCTGATAGTAGATGGTGGTATGAAGATTAACTCATGCATTTAATCATTCATTGCTAGTTACTGTATAAAAAAATTTCATCTGCTGGTGTTATTCTAGGTCTTCCCCTATTAGTTTTCCAGCTCTTCTGCCATCCATTCATTTGTTTATCTGTCTGCTCATTTAGGCCCCCAGTCATCCATTTACCTGCCCTCCATCCACACCCACCCATCCACCCACTCAGCCATTCACCCATTCCTCCATCAATACATCTATCCTACTGCCCAGCCCTTCATCCGGGCAGCCAGTCAGACATTATCTCTCCATCCTTCTGCCTATTCATCTTCCATCCATCCAATAGTTCATTCATCTTCTCTCCATCTTTCCAATCATCCATCATCTGTTCATCTAGCTGTTCATTTCTTCACCCAACTGTTCACACAGACATGTATCTATCCTTTTAGCAATCCTTTCATTTTTCCGCCCAGCTATCATCCCTTCACTCATCATTTCTCTAACCAGCCAGTGATTCAAACATCCAATTAACTTTTCCTCCAACTATCTATCCATTCATCTGTCCATCTTCTGAACCTTTGCTTAACACCTCTTATGACCCTGGTGCATCATGATTTTAATTGCATGAGAAAACCTGATGATGGATAGTAAAAGTGTACATATGCTTAACTACATACACACAGTGTGACAAGAGTTTATGTTCATTTATTAACCTAATCCTCATAAAGACAATGAAAGGAGTTAAGGGCTAGTGTCACCCTCCCATGATTACCACCATTTTACATATGAGGAAACTTGAGACCCAGGGAGGTTAAGTAACTTGTCTAGGATCACAGTGGAATAGCAGATCCAGACTGTAAGCCAGGACTTTAGAATCTATGACACTAAACTACTTGTCTCCTCACAAAGTTTTCTTGGGAAGGCATGGCCTGTTGAGGGACAGGATGGACAGGATGATGGGCTCAACAGAGGCCCATTAAGTTTCACATTCAACCAACAGAAGAAAGGAGAATGATGAAGGTTAGAAGAGGCCTCCCAGCCCCCACTCCTGCAGGAGGGCACGGGAGGCCATTCAGAGAACGTGACTGAAGTGGTTTTTCCCTTTCCTGGATGCACATGTTGCAGGAGTGCATGGACCAAATTTCTATTCATAACTCTCAGATTAAAGAGAGTTATACACAGGAAGCTGAGGTCACCCCGGGTGTAGGGCCTGGCACTGGGCAGGAAGTGGGAGTGGGGCTTGCACGAGGGAGAATTTGTTGGAAGCAGAGCTACTGGAACCAAAGCTTGGAAGATAAAGCCCAGAAAGGGGCTCGTAGCAGAGAGAGCACTGGGCAAAGATCTAAAGCCCTGTGAGTGAGGGACCCCCAGAGTGGGCTAGGCTGGGTGTCGGTCCTAGCAGGTATTCTCTCATTCCTGGGTGTCGGCCCGTAGGTTGCATGTCAAAGAACAATTGGATTTGATGGGCCAACACAAGGACCTCTGGGAATTCCAGGTGAGCCATTGTCACTGTCTCCAGCCAAAGCCCCTTCTCTCCTGGCTTTGATGTCTCCGCTGGCTGCTCAGGTCCACCTACTGCTCAGGCCCAACTCCATGCGATAGTCTTTGACTCCTTTCTTCCTCTCACCTACTTACTCCTCCGCTTTTACCTGAAAACTGGTCACCTTTTACCATCTCCACTGCCACACCATTGCCCAGACTGTTGCAGCAGCCATTGCTGATCCTGCTTCCCTCCTGCTCACCTAGAGCATGCTCACCTTGCAGTGGCAAATGGGACCCCTGAAAAAGCAGTGGTCAGGACATTAGATAGTCCAGGAACTCTGTGGCCTGTGAATAATGGCTACGAAGGGGCTGGGAGCACAGCAGATGGCCCAGTCTTCTTCAACACCTAATAAACACCTGGACACCTGCCTTCTTTCAACTAATGTCACTGGATGCATCCGGAAGCATTCCAGGCAGGAAGAGACAGTAGGGGAATTCAAGAGGCCAAGTTTTTGTTGTCCCCAGGATGGTTGGGGACAGGGGAAAACATACCCAGACTCTAAACAAGAAATTAAGTAAGATAGAGTATATAATGTTAGTGGGGAAGGCCTCAGCAGGTGACACTTGAACACCTGAACGTAGACAGGAAGGAAGTAAGGGAGGAAAGCATGCAAGTATCTAGGTGACGGAAGTAAGGGAGGAAAGCATGCAAGTATCTAGGTGCAAATGTTCCTGGCAGAAGTCAGTACAAAGACCCTGAGGCTGGATCATGTAAGGATGAGATGAGATTTGAGAGATGGTATATGGGGACCTGGGGAGCGATTGGAGGAAATGCATCTCCAGCAGCACCCAGCCACAGCAGAAACTGCACATTGAGTTAATAAATAGCTGAATGAATGAATGAATGAATGACCTAATTCAGGTAAGAATTTCTGAGAGGTGGAAGGAGGAGGAGTCAGGAGAACAGACAGACGGAGGGACAGGCCTCTTCCCTCTCCTCGCAGATACTGAAGCAGCGACTGACCTGGGAGATCCATTCCTTGCAAAGAAGCAAGGAGCAGCTGCTCACTGAAGGTGTGACTCGCGCGCAGGGTCGGGTCGAAGGGGCGGGGCCGAAGGGGCGCGGCCGGCTAGTTGGAACTCCAGGCCCCGTCGGTGACGCCCCGCCCACCCGCAGAGAATTTGGCGCGAGCCAAGCTACAGCAGGTGGAGCGGCGGCTGCGCTTGCCGCCTGTGGTCGAGGGCGCTCCGGCAGTGAAGGACGCGTGAGCGGGGAAAGGAGACCTCGGCGGTGGGGAAGGGGCAGGGAGGAAAGGAAGGGGTCGACGCCCCTGTCCCCAGCACCACGCCTCCCAAAGGGGCTGGCACTGGGGCGGGTAGGCGGGGCCTCAGCGCACAGGCCCAGCTTCTGCCCCGGTCCTCCAGCCTCGGTCTCTCTGAACCTCTTCAGATCTCTGTGTCTCAGTGGCTTCCTTTCCGTCCCCCTCCACTCTTGCTCTCTACTTCCTTCTCTCTCCTCTGCGCCTTCTCCACAGGCTAAAGGCGGAGCTGGAGAAATTCGGTGGGCATGGCCCCGCCCAGACCCAGAGCGCCCCAGGGGACCCGACCGACGAAGGAGAGGTCGGGAGCCCGGGACGGAAGCGAGGCGGGCAGGGAGGGAGACAGAGCGGGCGGGTCTGTCTCCAGAGTCCCTCGGAGAGAGGGTCTGGAGAGACCAGGGCGTCCCAGGGGGTGACAGTAACAGAGCAAGGCAGCCTCACTCCCTGCTCCGGCAGGCCAGCCCCGAGCTCCTGGGCACCCGCGGTGAGGAGGACCTGGAGCCGCCGGTGGAGCTGGCACTGGCGCCTTCCTAAACCTAGGTCTCGCCCGGTGCTCACCTAACTTCAAGGCCCAGCAAGAAATAAAGGCAATGATTTCAATTCGTCCTTCATCTCCTGGACTGAGTCTGCGCTCCAGGAGCCACTGAGGGTGGGGGCGAGGGGTCGGGCTGACGCCCTCAGCCGGCAGGGACGGGGTTCCAGACTTTCTGGGCGGGGTCTCGGCTGGGCTCCGCCCATCAGGCGCGCGGAAGGCTCTCACAGAACCTCAAAACCGTAAATGTTCTGCGCAGTTCAATGAATAAGTGGGTGTCAAGTCCACCCTATCTCCACAACTGCATCTCAGGTTCTTGAACTAGCTGTTTTACCAACAAGTGCTAGAGAGAACGTGTTAAAAACCCACATCAGGTCCCGTCGGTTTCCTGTGGTTCAGAGTAAAACCGCAGCCTTCCACAATCCCTGGATTCCCCCACAGACTCCTGCTGACCTCGTGGACCTCTCAGACCTGCCCGCCTACCTGGGCTCCCACACACACGTTCGGTTCTAGTTTTCCACCCTTCTCCAGACACGTTGTTACCTCAGAGCCATCGCCCTTCTGTGCCCTCATTTGGGGTGCTTTCCCCCTGGGTCTTCTCCGGGCTTCTGCCCTCAGTTACCCAGCAGGTGTGTTAAG